CTGAAATGTAAGTGTTGTAACCTTTGAAAAGGCCATTCTGTACAAAATGAATGGGGGAAGAAGCTTATTACAAACTGGGGAAAAAGTCTCTCTGCAGCTGGGAAGATACAGCTGGTACCCCCATTATTACTTAGGAGCTGGTGAGGTCTGCAGTGAGTATTTGGGAACTTGCTGAGGGGGACCCTCAACTCCAGTTAGACAATAAATTGAGGCTCTTTGCTGGATGGGGTTTTTGCTGTACTGTCGAAAACACACCAGATACATGTTATCTCTTCATCAGTGTTACATTTTGCATATTTTCAAAGCATTCTCTTAACTGCAGTAAACATTGGGGTGTTTGCCTTTGATTTAGATCTGATGTGATTTTCCTGCTCTAGTAATGCTTCATCTCTGCTTTTCCCCCACATCTTCTGGTGTGTGGGCTCAGACTGATTTTCAGGTAGTGGGCAGCAGTTGTTAACAGAGCTACGGTTATTAGAAAAGAAAGTTCTGAACATTGCAGATAAAATACAGTTAAATTAAGTAACTATATAAGGAAAATGCCCTCTTCTTACAGTGAACAAACAGAATTAGCACTTGCTCAAAATAAAGACAGCAGCTTGAGAAGGAAATTTCTAGCAATAACTATCGAAGCAGTTTATGTCCCATGGAGACAGACCTGCCAGTTGTTGAGCCTTTTGGCTAATTAACACTCCTGCCCACAGCTGCAGTAAATAAGGCTTGGAAATGGCTCCTCTGCCAGGTGCTCTGTAGGTACTACTTCAGGGGTTTGGTTGCAGTATTCAAACGGCTTTTTTGAGTGCTCTGCTGAGGATAGTTGTGGGTTTTTTTATTTTTTCTCTTCTTTTTCCTGGTGGAAAAGCTTAAGTCTTCTTTACTTCAAGTAAGTAAAACAAAGCTCATATGGGACCTAGCAGTAAGGTATGTTTATGCTGCTTAATAATGTATATGTGAATGTTATTTTCTAGGCATACACAGAACTTTGTGGTTTGAACAAGTAACAGATTAATCTAGCTAATGGTTGCTTTAAAAAGTATTGATTTGGGGTTTTGGTACATACTAAGTTTGAGGCCTTTACAATTGCTTTGTTATGTTTCCTTAAAAAACTAAAGCAAGTGATTATTTTTTAAACAGGTTTGATGCTATTTGTCTAGTTGCTGTTTGTGTATCAGAGAATGCTGATGCTTTTGAATTCTAATTAATTCTGATGTACTTAAAAATTAGAGTTTTAAAACTCTGACAAAGTCTGTAGCGTGTCAGAGCTAGAAAACACTTGTATCTGCACCCTTTACATGAAGGAAAATGGGGGCTCTAGAGTGCTGCATTTTTGTTTATTATGGGACTTCCAGTGTTACATCCTTCATCTGTTTTGCCTATGTTCCTGAAAGTCTTCTGATACCTTCTGCTTTCTTAACAGTTTAATTTTAGAGAGAAATGATTATGAGAAATTCTGTCTATAGAAAGTTGTCTTTTGCTGTACAAAAATAACTTGTGATTCCTAATGGCTTCAGTTGAAACATATGCAGAAAGAGCCCTGTACTTATGATGCCTTATAAATCAGGGAAAGTTAAGTTTTTCTTGTCATCAGTGTTTTGATGCATGACTTGTAATCTTGATTGTTTGGGTTGGCAACTTTGTGTTAGCCCAGTATAGTAGTAGCTTTCTGGAAATATACCTTAGTTTTTTATAACATACTGTAGTTTTGTTACAAATATATGTGTCTGGTCTGAAAGTGAACCATTTTCTTTTTTTTTTTTTCCTATAAAGAAAATAATTTGATTATTCCCTTCCACTGTTCGTGCTCCTATTAGCTGTGCTTGGAAATCTGTTACAAAACGGATTACTTCTAGTTGTCTGATACAGATAGTGAATTAACATTGAAGAGCACAGAGCATGTGATGAGCTTGTTCTGTCATGGATAAATAATGCACATGAAAATTGAGTGCTGGTAGAGAACTCTTATTTGTCTGGTCCTCTTCCTCCTACGCCAGTTTTGTTTTTATTGTGTTGGATATCTTGGAGCTTGAGGCTTAAATCTTCAGTGCGGAATATCCTTTCCATACTTGGGGGCTTCTGTTTCATGGTTGGTTTGCCTTTGGAACAGGCTGGTGATACCTTTGCAGCGGAGGGAGAGAAGGACTTGTCAGGCAAAGTGTTATCGTCTAAGGAAATACTACATGTGAAATTCTAAAAATGGGAAGTAGTGTAACTCCTAACAGCGAGAAAACACTGCATGAGGAAAGTACGAAAGCAGACGCTGCCTGTTAAAGTGAATGGGTTTTGTATTGTTGAATTACTTGGAATGGTAGGAATACCAAACTGTGTGGGAGTATTGGAGAAGTGTGATAAAGGGAAAGAATAGAAATGACTTCTAGAAATGTGTCGAGTAACTTGCACAGCTGCATTTTCTCCAAATAATGTCAAGTTCCCATTGGCCAACTATGCAGTGATTCGCAGTGGCAATTTATGCTTGCTTTTATGATTGAGATGAATCCCAAGAGGTAGAGAGAACAGGATGAATTTTAGAGAAAGGTTTTGTAAAAGGGCATCACAAAACAAAGCAGAAAGGCTTTTTAGTGAGAAAGATGTGATAGAGATTTTTTTTTTATTGCCTGCTTCCCATTCGTATAGAGTTCAGCGTGGAGACATGAGTCTTCTGTGTATGATCTTAAAGATCCGGATGAGGAGCTAACACGTAGTCCCCTTGGTTTGAGGAGTCAGGAGAGATGTAGGGACAGGAGGGACGGACACCATGTGGTAACCTACTAAAAATCCAGGTTAAGAAGGCTACGGTAGTCCATGGTACCTAATATATAGGATTAAATACAGATGCAAGAGTGAAAAGATACACTTATTTTAAAAAAATATTATTGGTTGAATGCACTGAATGCATGAGCCTTAAAACTGGGTGCTTTGAGTCAGTAATGCCTTGTCTTATATCCAGGTCCCTATTTACCACATGTACTGTCAGCTGCGGTGTCTTTGCTGAGCTTGAAACTCTTAAAAATAGTGCTCAAGCCTGAAAAATAGGACAAAATAGCAGAGTTGGCTTTGATCTGTAAAATAACAACTGAGGAATTAGAATTGTGTTGCAAAAATACTTATTTCTGAACTGACAGTGGAGCACAAAGTGCTATGTTTTTCCAATTTATTTGAAAATCACGACTTTGAGAGAACTATGGTTTTATTAGACAACTTACGCTTCGTATTCATGCTTTCATGGGAAGAAGCGATGAAAAAGCAAAGAGCTGAATTATAGTTGAGCTTAGATCTAAGAAAGATAAAAGAAGATGTAATGTGGAGGGGGAAAAAAAAAGCAGTTTTGAGGGTCAACTAGTGGGAAATTAGTGCTCCTTGTGAAGTACTTTGTCTTTTAGTATAAGTGGAAGCTGCTCGCTCCTGTGAGTGATGTTTTTTCAAGTATTTCATTCAAATCTAATAGCTGCTCTGATATATTTTCCAGTGACACTAAGCAATGTGTATACCGCAGTACAAAGGTACAGAGATCCCACTTTTGACGTAGGAGATCTCTCGTGTCCTGGATAGGAGAAAAATCAGTGGAATGGTGAATTGCCAGCTGTGCAAATAGGTGGTCAATCGCAACATCTGCCCAGAGGGTTCATTTGCTACAGCCTTCGTGGGAAAGCACTGCGCGCCAGGTGCGGTTGGGTGCAAAGGCAACCCTTCTGCATCCTCTGCTGCAAGGGGAAGTGTCACGGGCTGAGAGCAGATTGCTGCTGCACAAGCATGATTTTAAAAAAAACTTTTAAATGCGCCTTTCCAACAACAACAAAAATCAAAGCATTTGAGACATTTGTTATTGCCTCGTGAAGTGGGTGTCATCGCGGTCAACTCATTGTTACAAATTTAGAGCGCTTCTAAGTGAAACCCTTTGGGCTCATACAGCCAAAAACGAGGAGGACGTGACGCTCGGGATTTTTGAGCGGAATCCGTTTAGTTTGTAGGACGAAGGAAACGCGGCCGCTGTGCGAGAGCACGAGAAACACCGAGCAGGCTGTCCTAAGCAAAGGATGCCACCTACGGAAGGCGGAGAGAACCGCCGCCTCGTGCGAGTCACAGGGTCTCCTCCAACCAAAACCATTCCTCGCAGTAATTAGTGGGTTAAGGTTAATGAGGTCCCGCTACCGGCGCGGTGCGGCCGATAGGGGCCGCCCTCGGCCCGCGCTCCCCGGCGCCGCCGGCCCGGGCGGGACCACGGCCCCGGGGGGGGGGGGGGGGGAGG